CTTAAAACTCATGCCGGGCCCATGTGTGTGCGTGCCCAAGATCCCGAGAAGAGAATGGAGGAGAAGGGATTGTGGTGTGGCCATCCACCCTGGGGGGTGATTTCTCGCTTTCTACCTCTCTGTCTCTCTGTCTGTCTGACGAGCACATGTGCCCTATGGCAAAAACCTCTCCAAAAAAAAAAAAAAGATCTCTACAAAGAAAACTGAGAAAGCCTCAAAAATAAATTAAAAAAAAATACAAAAGAGGGGCAAAACATCCTATGTTCCTGAATTAGAAGAATTAATATAATCAAGATGTCAGCCTTACCCAAATTAACCTACAAGTTAATACAATTCTGATTAAATTACCAGATATTCTTCATAGAAATTGAAAAAACAATCTGAAATTTCTTTGGAATCCTAAAAGGCCCTCTATCACCAAAGCAATACTGTGCAATAAGAATAAAGTAGGAGGCATCTCCATTCTTGACCTCAAAATATATTACAAAGCTGTGATAATCAAAATAGCATGGTACTGGCAAAAAGACAGACATGTGGACCAATAGGACAGAATAGAGAATCCCCAAATAAACCTCAAAACATACAGCCAATTGATTTTTGACAAAGAGCACAAGACAATCCAGTGAGAAAAAAAAAATCTCTTCAGCAAATGGTCCTGGAAGAACGGACATCCACTTGCAGAAAAATGAAACTGGAGACCCCTATCTCTCACCATCAACAAAAACCAACTCTAAATGGATCACAGATCTAAACATAAAACCTGAAACCAGAAAGCTACAGTAGAAAACACAGGAGAAACTCTTGGAGACATGGGAGTAGGCAAAGAATTCTTAAATAAGATCCCCAAAGCACAGGCAATAACCCTGAAAATAGACAAGTGGGACTACATCAGAGTAAAAGGTTTATGCACAACACAAGAAACAATAATTAGAGTGAAGAGACAGTCCTCAAAATGAGAGAATGTACTTGCAAACTGTGCCTCAGATAAGGGACTAATAATCAGAATCTACAGGGAACTCAAGCAGTTTACCCCCCCCCCACACACACACAATAATCCAATTAAAAATGGGCAAATAAGCTGAATGGACAACTCTCCAAGGACGACATATAAATGGCCAAGAAGCTTATGAAAAAAATGCTCAGTATCTCTTATCATAAGGGAAATGCAAATCAAAACCACAATGAGATACCACTTAACTCCAGTCAGAATGGCTAAGACTAAAAAAAATAATAAGTGCTGGTGCAGCTGCAGTGAAAAGGAAACCCTCCTACACTGAACGGGAATATAAACTTGTATTGCTACTGTGGCAAATATGGAAGTCCCTCAAAGCCTACAAGTAGAAGTACTGTACGACCCAGAAATTCCACTTTTGGGTATCTACCCAAATGACAGGAAAAACATTGGCACATCCATGTTTATTGCAGCATTATTCACAATTGCTAAGACATAGAATCTACCCAAATGTCCAAGAGCAGATGAATGGATTGAAAAGATGTGGCACATATACACTATGGAATACTACTCAGCCATAAAAAATGAGACACTGGTATTTGATACAAAATGGACCAGTATGAAGACTTAATGCTAAGTGATGCAAGCCAGACTATGAAGGAGGCATTATGTGTCCCTGTTTAATATATACCGAATGTCTGCACTCTATGGCAGAAATGGAAAGACTGGAAGTTATAAAAACAGTGGGAGGCAACTGCAGATACTAGAAACAGTATAGGAGAGGGTAGGTGTTGGGAAGCAGAAGGGGGAGAATCAGGTGAAGAAAGAACATCTAACAGACACAAAAATGAAAAGGTATCTCTTGATGATAAGTGTGTATGGTAATATCTTGGACTAGGCTAATATGCATTGTATTCATGCTAAAAATAATTAAGTATGCTGTAAGGATGTACAGTGATTAATTATAAATAAAAATATATTACAGCTGAAAATAAAAGAAAAAGTAAAAATGCTGATTTGCCAGTTGTAGAAAACCCCCAAGAGATCCTTTAAGCATTGGACAAACAAAATCTAGGTTACTTATATTTTCAGGAAGCAGCAAGCCAACCTTAATGAGACGTTCAAAACAATGAGTAATTTGCTCTCAGTTGGGGTGTGGGAAAGATGTGTTAACCAGAAAAAGAAAGGAGTTTAAGGAGCCAGGATGGGTCAGTGTGTCCAGCACCATTAGGACAGGAGGGGCAGGTCAACCTCATTCTCTGGTCTGTGTGAAAGAGGGAGAAACCCCACAATACGGGTGGATACAGTGGACACTGGTAGCTTAGTAACACCAGTGAAAGGTTATTCAGCAAATCTCTCTTGTCTGGAGTCCACTCTCAACCAGACAAGCCAGATCGGAGGGACTGCTGGTGCCCACTGTCATCTGTGTCTCTTCTTTCTGGTACACAGCTGCACTAGTGACCCAGACTCTTCCCGCACGTAGGTGGGAACAGTGACTTATCTGGGCAGTGGAATAGGCCCAGATGGGCACAGACCACTTCCAAACCTTGTCAAAAAAAAAAAAAAAAAAATCAGAAAGAAAGAAAAAGAAAAGAAAAAGCACCACATGGGGCTGGATGGTGGTGCAATGATAAAATGCAGAGTTCTGTGAGGCAATACCACATGGGAAGGTTCTCAATTCAAGTCTGGAGACCTCCCTGGATGCCAGGTACATGTGTGTCCATGATCTGTGACTGGCCGAAGGCTGGGGGTGGTGGACTGAGGGGTTGGCACCTGTTAGAGGTGCCCCCCCCCCTTACTCCTCTCACTCATGGGAGAAATAAATAAGCTTTAAAAATGCTCTGCACCATCTTTCATGCTCTTGTTTTCTCTGCTTTCTGTTTGGCTGGAGGAGAAGGAAGGACTCTAACATGGTAGAACTGTTGGGTTGTCACATTTTTCCATCATGACTTTTCTGACGACCCAATATATGATAAAATAAGTTCCAATCCTTTAGTTTCTGCTTGAAAAAGTCCCTAGGAGCTGTCAGAATGAGAACATCTGTGATGAAATCTGAGTAAGAAACAAACCTTTTTTGGGTTACTCCAGTGGGATTTCGGGCTGTGCAATATAATAGCTGACAATACTTTTTCTGACAAATGAAGTAATCATTTTAACTTCTGTGTGGGAAATGTTAACACAGCAGGTCTGGCTACTTAATCCTTTATGCCTCCAGGGGAGCCTGGAACCCGGGCTGAACCTTGGCCAATCCTTGGGAATGTGGTGCTTGGAATGTCGCTGACTGATGATGCTGATTTGCACACCTGAAGCAATGGCGGGTGCTGCTGCTGCTTGTCGGGACTGCTTAGCAAGCTTCCCGCTGTGTCCGTGTATCTGGTATCCATGCTGGGGCTCTGCCATTCAGTTATTACAGCTGTTCGTGCAGCAGGTGCGGACTTACCTGACGAGCCCTCCCTGGAAGCCTCAGACTCCAGTGGACAGCTCTGGACAGAGACATCTCACATCTGTCCCCACAGTTCACAGCTGTGGAAAATGCACACACCATGCAAACCCGTAGGGAAGGAGTTGAAAGCCTGTCCTGACCTCTCTGGTCTGTTCTTGCTACTTTTACACCATATCCTTTGTTATAACAAGCCTGAGCCATGAATATAACCTGTTTTTGAGTCCTGTGAGTATTCCTGGTGAATCACTAAACTTGAGGTGATTGTGGGACCACCAAAATATATCCCATGTAAGATCTTTCTCAAGAATACAAAGAATAAATCATTTAAAATAAATAGACGTTCTGCCTGGCATTATATATCTTTTTTTTTTTAAAGAATGATTTTATTTAACTTTATTTATTATTATTATTTTTCAGTTTTATCAGAGAGAGACAGAGAGAGAGAGAGAGAGAGAGAGAGAGAGAGAGAGAGAGAGAAAGTGGGAAAGCAAGCCACCAGGTATAGGACTTAAACCACAGTAGGCCATGTGGGAGTCCAATGCCCTTCACTACCACACCACCTGTCGGCCCCCTGGCCTTATATATCTTACCATTTGTTACTATCATCTGTTGATATTCCAGCCTATCTATCAAAACTCTTGTGAATTTGGTTGACATGAGTCAATTCATGAGAGCCTGACAACAGTTCCATTCTTTGGCCTGCACAACTTAGGAAGGTCATCTGGAATCCTGTGACCACCCAATCACGACCCCCTTTCAGTGGCCAACCTGAATGACTGCTCTCTTCAGTGTCTCTTTCATGCATTGCTTAACATGTAAGAAGATGAGAGTCCAAACATATTAGAGTCCAAATATACAAATATATATAAATACACTAGATGAGAGTCCAAATAGAACAGAGCAGGCACTGGCAAATTATGACCCATGGCTAAATCTGAACCCCCAACTGTTTTGGCATAGCCCAAGAATAAAGAACGGTTTTTACATTTAAAAATAATTGCCAGAGGATGTGTGAGTTTATTAGAGAGAGACAGAGACAGAGAGGGATTTGGGGTACACATCCACACATTTTGGGGTACACATCCACACATGCTTGGTGTTTTTCAAACTGTCGGGACCGAGACTTGAACTATGCAGTTGACCATGTGTGATCTAGCTCTCTTAACCTATAGAGCATGGGACCAGACCGGGTTTTACATTTTTAAATGGCAGAAAAAAAAATAGAAAGAAGTGCACTATAGCATGATGTGACAATTATATAAAACTCAAATTTCAGTTTCTACAAATAAAGCCATTTTGAAACAGCTATGCCCATTTGTTTATGTATCTATGGCTGCTTTTCCACATAGCAGAGTCGAATAACTGTGACAGCGATCACCTAGCCTACAAAGCCCCAAATATTTTACTATCCGGTCCTTGACAGAGGGAGTTTGCTGACCGTTGCTCCAAAGTTCTGACTGTCCCCATAAGCCTGACTTCGGAAGGACTTTGACAAGGAGCATTTGTTCCCCACTCAGGGTAACCATTTCCACACCTCCTCTGCTCTGTGACAAAGCCCTAGTGACCAAGGCCCCCTAAGGAGAAGTTGTGGAGAAAATCACTTACGTAGGATCCATAATCCACAGCCAGGGTCTGCAGAGCCCAGGGGAGCCCCAGGCCAATCAGGATGTCAAACACGTTGCTCCCAATGGAGTTGGACACGGCCATGTCCCCCATCCCTGCCGGGACAAGAGGTCACTCGAGTGAGGGAGGTGATGCCATCAGTACACAGGGCCCCTTCAGGACTCCCCCGCGTTCGGTCTGATGGCCACAGAGCAGTTTTGCTAGCTCACATACCTGGTTCTCTCAGGCCGTCACTGAGGTAGAAGATGACAATGCCACTGATTATGAAACTCAGAAATACTCATTCTATTGAAATGTTGACCTTCACCTCAAATATGCTCACTGACTAAACCTAAGTGATTCACAAAACCAAATTCTGTACGTTTTGAGACTTTCTTAGAGGAAGGAATAACTCCACAGTTAACTCCTCTTCTACAGAGAGGCCCACGAGTTCATCGGCTCACACACGTTCCCTATCATCTCCCACCTGCTCCATGCTGCATTCAATTCTTCTGAATAACTGAGTGACATCAAAAAGCAATGGAATCAGGAGCCTGGTGGTGGTGCAGTGGTAATGTGACTGCACCCACATGGGCAAGGTCCTGGGTTCATGTCCCAGAACCTCCTTGGGCATGCTGGCATGTGTACCTGTGACCTGGGCTGGTTGAGATTAGGGGTGGACCATGGCATCGAGACCGTGTTGGGGGTTTCTCTCCCCTCTCTCTCAGAAGGAATAAATTAACTAATTAAAAAATAATGTAATCAGTAGAATTTTGTGAAGCCTTCTAGAGGACGCTGTGAAATGTCGTAGCTACACAACGTGTATGTGGAAAATAAATGCCCTCCAGTGTAAGTCAGGCATGTAAATGAGAGAGGGTGCTGAGAGGCCTGGCCATATGGGCATCCATCTGGGAAGGTGAATGTGAATTGGTTTTGAAAGTGGGAAGGGCCCGTCACACACTGAAAACTGACCTCTGGCAACTACTACTTTGTGGGGTGCTGTGGCTGAGTGGACCCTAATTAGTCATGGGGTCTGACCCCTCTAAGCCTCAGTTTCTTTGTACATGAAATAGAGGTAGGGGGACCAGCAGTTGATGTAATGACTATGTTGCTGGACTCCCATGTAGCTGACTGTAGTTCGAGTCCCTTAAACTCATGCTGGGCCCATGTACATGCATGCCCAAGATCCCGAGAGGAGAATGGAGGAGAAGGGATTGTGGCATGGCCATTCCCCCTTGGGGTGATTTCTCGCTTTCTGTCTCTCTGTCTCTCTCTTTCTGGTGAGCGCATGTGCCCTTCGTGTGAGGCCATGTGCCCCTAAAAAAAAAACCCAAAAAAAAAAAAAAAAAAAAAAAAAAAGAAATAGAGGTAGGATGGTCCCTAGTCATGGAGTTGTTCAAATTAAATAAGATAACATACCTAAAATGCTTTGCTCAGGTTAGCCATCACTAATTTGCTCCTATTTTTTTTCTTTTCTTTTTTTTCTCTAGGGTGCGAGTACTTGCCCAAGAAACAGAGAGAGAAAAAGAGACAGAAAGCAAGAAATCACTCCCCCAGGGGGATGGCCATGTCACAATCCCTTCTCCATTCTCCTCTTGGGATTTCGAGCATGTATGCACACACAGCTTGAGTGAGTTTTAAGCTGCTGGGTCTGGGACTCGAACTATGGTCAACTATGTGGGAGTCCAGTAATGTAACCATTACACCATCTGCGGATCCCAATTTGTTACTATTTTTAATTATAGAAGGATGGCAATACACCCTCCAGATGGGACTGTCCTGGAAACATCTCTGCCTTCCTCGAGAGTGGAATCTTCTGACTCCGTTTCCTGTTCTGACCCCAAGTAACCTTTGGACCAACTTAGCATTGAAGTCCCCCATTGCTCCCTCCAAGCTGGGATTTGGTGCCCCGTTAATCACCACACGGACCCTCCAGGGAGGGAGCACTTCCTTCCTTCCCCTCAATGCCCATCGCCACTGGAGGTCCCACCTTGTCTGGCCACGATGAGGCTGGCCATGCAGTCGGGCACACTGGTTCCGGCGGCCAAGAAGGTGATGCCCATGATGACGTCAGGGATCCCCAGAGTGTAACCGATGATAGTGACCTGCAGGGAGCAGGGAAAGGCAGTGAGCGAGGGCTGCATGTCCCACCTGCCGTGGCTCTCTGGATGGCGCACACTGGGACAAGGGCTGCTTTCTGTATCAGTATGGAAGGCAACAAGCAGCGTGTGGACACAGGCCAGGACGGGGCAGACACAGGCTTCGTTGGGAGCTTATGCTTTCCACCGAAAGGTTGCCTTTTCCACTTGTTCTTTTCAGGAGAGGCAGGTGGTTTGAGAGAGAAGAAATAATTTACAAGGAAAAACATTATCATGACAGAATATTTGAACTCAGGGGGGCCCTGGGAAATCCAGAACAGACGACTGCTACATAGTGCTTGGAACTGGAGCAGCCACTTCAGGAGAGGCAGGATGGGAATTTACGGGAACCAGAAGGGGCTGGATTTGTTGGAAAAGCCATGACCAGCTTGGTCTTTCCTTTCCCTGGAAGGTTAGTATCAATGTCCTTATCAACGTCCTCTTCACCATCAGGGTCCATGTTCATTTAGACCTTAGGTGCTGGGAGATGCTCGTACTTTTTTTTTTTTTTTTTTTAATAATTATTTTATTGGGGCCTGGGAGATGTGCATAGCTGTTTTTGTTTTTGTTTCTGTTTCTTTCTTTCTTTCTTTTTTTTTTTTTAAGAATTATTTTATTGGTGGGGCCCGCAGGGTGGAGAATGAATGAATAAATAAAATAAAATAAAATAAATATTTATTTAAAAAAAAAACCACGAATGATTTTATTGAGGCCAGCAGGTGGCATGATGGTTAAGGTGCTGGACACTCCCACATGGTCAACCACAGTTCGAGTCCCGGACCTGGTGGCTTGCTTTCTTACTTTCCCTCTCTCTCTCTCTCTCTTTGGTCAAATTAAATGAATGAATAAATAAAATGAAATAAATAATTATGTTTTTAAAAAGAATGATTTAATTTAACTTTATTTATGTATTTACTTTAAAAAATGTGACCAGGGAAGGACAGAGTGAGAGAGAGAGAGGGAAAGTGAGAAGGTAAGCTGTCAGGTCTGGGACTTGAATTGCTGTCAGCCATGTGGGAGTCCAACACCCTCAACCACCATGGTTCCTGCCAGTCCCGATGCTCATGTGCTTTAACTTATTTAAAACAGTGGACCAGCAGTTAGCATAATGGCTATGTTGTTAGACTCCCATGTAGTCGACCGCGGTTCGTGTCCTGGACCTGGTGGCTTAAAACTCACGCCGGGCACGTGTGCGTACGTACCCAAGATCCCAAGAGGAGAATGGAGGAGAAGGGATTGCGGCGTGGCCATCCCCCCTGGGGGGTGATTTCTCGCTTTCTGTCTCTTTGTCTCTCTCTGTCTGTCTGGCGAGCGCATGTGCCCTATAGCGAAAACCTCTCAAAAAACAAAAAAACAAAAAACAAAAAAAACAGTAAGGCTGCCAAGGAAGTGCTACATTATTTCTATTTTCCAGATGAGAAAACAATTGGGGAAGTGGGTGCCCAAGTCACATGCTGCCCATAAGTGGAGGGGGTGGGGGGCTGGAGGTGGGGCAGACAGACCCAAGTACAGGCAGCACCTGGTTTTACATGGAGGGGTCTTGCCAGAGGTGGAAACAGGCGGTCCTAAGCTATGGCTTCTATTCCTGCCCCAAGTTTCTGGTGAGACAGCATAACCAGGGAGCTGGCAGCAAGAGGCAGTAAGAGGAAAGGAGACCAGTTCCCTGTGTGTAGGCCTAAGAAGGAGACTGAAACGAGGGGTCATTTCAGGATGCCACCTGCTCTCCCCAGCTGGGAACAAACTGACAGGAAATGGAAGCCATGCATAGTCAGGAGCACATCTACTGTCCCTCCTAGGCTGGCCTCTGGGAGACATCCACATACGAAACCCTGACTCCACTCCAATAGCCACGAGCACGCCTTCCCTGTCCAGAGGCTTGGAGGGTGTGCATTAAATCCACTGAGACGCCTGGCTCGACCCTCTTTCAAACCAGAGACTTTACCTTACTTCCTTTTGGTGCTGAATTTAACCTGGGGGTGGGCTCAGGGCTTTCTGACTTCCAGTCTGCAGGGAGAAAAGTGAGATGCTGGAACACACCATGTCTCTGTTTTGCAGCTCTGACCAGCCTTTGTGAAACGAAGCTCCAAGCATCCTGCCAAACCTTGTTTTTCCTTGCTAGCCCTCCGCTCAGTCCCTGTAGGAATCTGGTTTGGCTCAGCTGGATCTGGCCTGCTGCATACTCACTGTTATTATGATGTGGTCAAGTCTGGAGTTTTAGGGAGCCGATTACCCAGATGGCTGGGGCTGGTTCTCTAGCTTATTCTAGTTCTCTGTCTTACTCCTGCCTATTTCTCAGGTCTTGTCAGAACTTCCTCCAGAGAGGAAGGAGGCAAACAGAGGGGAGCAAACCTCAGTTTAGCTGGTTAATTTCCTGGTTAGTAGAATTCACAGAAAACCATTGAGCACTTTGCCGTCAGGGACGACCACACTATCCTCTAAACCTAAATCAGAGATCTCACTCAATTAATATGACAAATAAAATAAATAATGAACACAGGATGAAGCAAAAACCCTGGCTATAAGATTTTGAATTAAAAAAAAAGTTCACAGGGGCTGGCAGGTGGCATGGTGGTTAGGGGTGCTGCACTCCCACATGGCTGACCACGGTTTGAGTCCCAGACCTGGTGGCTTGCTTTTTCATCTTTTCTCTTTCTCTGTCACTCTGTCTCTCTCTGGCCACATTAAAATAAATAAATAAAGTTAAATAATAAAATAATTCTTTAAAAAAATGTTTGTGATAATGAGGCAAAGGATGATAATGAGTTCATTGTGTCAGGTTTACAAATTGGCTGTTTTCTCCAAAATAATCTTTTCACGACTTTTTTTCCTCTTGAATTTAATTCTTCAGAATTTATACTGCATTTTTCTCTAGTGCTCTAGCAAGATTAGCTGGGATTTACATAATTTTGTCATGGCTTTTAATTTCTGCCCAATTCCAATATTAATGCATTAGGCTTGTTCTTCAGTTAAAAAGCACAGTCCTAACTGGGCGGTGTGTTCTAGATGCTGAGTTCCCTAAAATGAGATTGGGGCAGAGGCTCTTTTTTTTTTTGAGAGGTTTTTGCTATAGGGCATGTGCACTTGCCAGAAAGACAGAGAGAAACAGAAAGCAAGAAATCACGCCTCAGGGGGGATGGCCACACCACAATCCCTTCTCCTCCATTCTCCTCTTGGGATTTTGGGCATGCATGCACACACGCCTGGCGTGAGTTTAAGCCACTGGGTCCGGGACTCAAACCGCACTCGACTATGTGGGAGTCCAGCGACATAGCCATTATGCCAACTGCTGATCCTGGGCAAAGGCAATTTTGAGCCATCGTCCCACAACCAGCATCTATAACCAGTTCATTATTTTAGCCTTAGAAGGCATTCTTGAGTGGTTACCTAATCCAGTGTCCTCGCTTTTGGTCGAAGAAACTGAGACTCAGAGGAAGTGGCTAGACAGACTGAAACATCACTCCCCAGTTCTTCACACTTGTCCTCCATGTCCTTTCCCTGTGACCTGGTTGCTCTTGCCACTGGAGTAGGTGCAATATATTTCCAATGAAATGTGGGTGAGAGTGACTGTATGACAGTCCCAAGTCAAGACCCTAGGAGATATCTTGTGCTCCCACTTGCTCTCTTGCACTCCAATGATATACCATGAGAAGATCATTCCCCAGGTAGCCACTGGTCCAAAGAAAATAAGCAAATGCATGAACTAGACATGGCTGCAACTAGCTGCCTGATTCAAACATAACCATCCTATAGCTTGAAGCAGAGCTGCCTGGGTGGTCACAGCTAAGATTAATCAGATGTGTGAGCAGGAGTATCAATGCTTGTGATTCTAAAGCATTATGTTAGGGGTGGTTTGTTATACAGCTTGTTGTATTAATAGCTGACTGATACATTTACTGGGTTGAAATCCCAACTCTTATTCCCTTCTAATCAAATGCATTTTTCTGTCCATGGCAATGTCATGGAATCCTCAATACACTCACCATCCACACCATCATGTAGGAAAAGGCTGCAATCCACAATGTGGAGGAAGCAAACGTTGCCATAAACCATTTCTCCCAGCGGGGCTTGTTGCAGTTGGGTACAGTGAAGTATAACACGAAACTCAGTGGCCAGGTGAATGCCCATTTCATTGTTTCCAGTTTGCCAGCTGGGGAAAAAAAAATCATTTAGTTTAATTTCTCCATTCCACTAGCTCTCCGCCTGGCTTTCCTGATATTTATGAAGGATCCTCCAAAAGTTCATGTAAAATGTGTAATATAAAAAATTCATATAATAGATTTCCAATTTATTTTACACAAGCTTTCTAAATCCCCTTGTACATCCTAATTGATGGCCCGTGAACCAAACCCTGCTATGTTGCTCTTTTCTTAAAAGACTCAAATGATTTTCTACCCAACAAAACCTGATAATCAAACATAATAAATTAAAAAAAATTATTACTGCCTACCTGCTAGTTGAGTTTCCAAAATGATAGGCTGAGTCACTTCTGAGTAATATCGGACTAGGGGGATGGTTGGGCAAACAGACCAGGTAGATAAAGAGAATGGAGATATTCAGGACACCACAGGGAGTGGAACACATCTGTCTGAAGTGGAGTTGGGACACAAGGGGGCTGAGGAGACCACTTCTATTCTCCTCATGGTTTAGGAACTTAATTTTCCCCCCAGATTTTAAATCCTCATTGGACACAGCGCCATCTAGTGGAGTTTCTCAACATTGTCTGCCAGGGTGCTGAAATATCAGAGGATTTGAAGAGTCAAGGCAGTCAAAACACCACTTGAATGTTTGTATTCCAAGCTGATAAGAATTTGCAAATGATGAATTGCTTTCCACCTCACTAACTACCTGCTACCACTGACAAGATGATGGATCTCTGCATGCTTATCTGCTTCTACCGTCTCTGCACTGAGAACCTTGTGTATTAGACACTGGAAATGCTTGTGAATTTCAATGACTCTATAGACCATCCTCGACTTACAATTTTTGACTTTAAGATGGTGTAAAAGTGATACACATTCAGTACAGACTGTAATTTGAGTACCTATACGACACTCTTTGTCTTCAGTACTCTAGCCAGTACATTCAACACTTCATTATAAAATAGGCTGTACTCAGCTTTGGGCTAACGTAAGTGTTCTAAGCATGTTTGAAGTGCTAAGATGCTTGGTAGTGGGGAACCAGCAGTTAGCATAATGGCTATGTCGCTGGACTCCCATGTAGTCAACTGCAGTTCGAGTTCCAGACCTGGTGACTTAAAATTCACACCAGGCGCGTGTGCACGCGTGCCCAAGATCCCGAGAGGAGAATGGAGGGGGGGAGATTGTGGTGTGGCCATCCCCCCTGGGGGGTGATTTCTTGCTTTCTGTCTCTCTGTCTCTCTCTGTCTGTCTGGCGAGCACACGTGCCCTACAGCAAAAACCTCTCCAAAAAAAAAAAAAAAAAGATGCTTGGCAGGTTAGGTGTATTAAATGCTCTTCAATGTAATGATATTTGCAGTGTCTGACGGATTTATAAGGACATAACTCCATGTAAATTGAGAAGCCCTGTACTGCCATGAGTTCCTTCTATCCTCAGATTTGCTCAATGTTTTAGTCCTTTGGATTTTACTACCATCTCGTTGAACTGTTACCTGACTTCTGGAATGACATATGTATACACCAATGTGGTTCTCACTTCAACTAAGATACAGAACACTTCTATCTTCCTTTACCTCTTTCTATTCAGCCCCCCCCTTTTTTTTTTTTTTTGAGGGTTTTTACTATAGGGTGCGTGCGCTTGCCAGACAGAGAGAGACAGAGAGACAGAAAGTGAGAAATCACCCCCCAGGGGGGATGGTCACGCTGCAATCCCTTCTCCTCCATTCTCCTCTCGGGATCTTGGGCACGCACGCACACGCACCTGGCGTGAGTTTTAAGCCACTGGGTCCGGGACGTGAACCGCAGTCGACTACGTGGGAGTCCAGCGACATAGCCATTACGCTAACTGCTGGTTTCCAGCCTCCTCTCTCTTATCACCATAGGTTAGTTTTGCCTGTCTCCCAAGTTTAAATAAATGAAATATTAAATTTTATTATTTTATGTGTCTACTTTCTTTTATTCAATGTAATGCTTTTTTATTTTGGGGATTTATTCATGTGTTGGCAATCCATTCCTTTTAATTGTTCTAGAGTGTTCCATCCTACGAATATACTATAGTTTGTTTATCCATACTCCTGTGGGCAGGCACTTGGTTGGGGTCAGTTTTAGGATATTACAATCAAAGTGACTAAGAACATTAGTATTATTTTTAAATTTTGCCAGAGAGTGTGTGTGTGTGCTGGAGACAGACAGAAAGAGAAAGTGAGAGACAGAAGGAAAGTAAGAAGGCATCTCTCCTGGGGAATGGTCATGCTACAATCCCTTCTCTATTTTTCTTTCCTTTTTGAGATTTTTGGGCATGCACATACCCCTATCATGTTTTTCAAGCTGCTGTATCTGGGACTTGAATCATAAAGTTGGCTGTTGGGGTTCAGACACCTTGGCCACCACACAATGGGCTGGCCCAACTATAACTATTCTTGTATAAGTCTTTTGGCGGTCATGTTTGAAAGTTGCTGAGTCATAAGGTGGCTATTTGTTTAACTATATAAGAAACTGTCAGTTTCCTAAGTGATTGTAAGATTTTATACTCCCTCCAGAGTTAAGGATATCTATCATCTATCTATCTATATCTATCATCTATCTATCTATCTATCTATCTATCTATCTATCTATCATGTATCTATCTACCTATCTCTATCTCTATCTCTATCTATCTATCTACATCTTTATATATTCTTCAGAGGTTTTTGCCATAGGACTCATGAGCTCGCCAGAGAGGTAAAAAGAGATAGTGAGAGGAAAAATGAGAAATCACCCCCCAAGGGGAATAGCCACACTTCAATCCCTTCTCCATGTTTCTCTTGGGATTTTAGGCATGTATGCACATGTGCTTGGTATGATTTTCAAGCCACTGGGTCTGAGATTCACATGGTAGCTGGCCAAGTGGGAGTCCAGTGACGTAACTACATTTCATCTACTGGCCCAGGGAGATATGTTTTATTACAACACATGGAATGGTGGTTAATAAATGTTTAATGAGGTTTATTTCAGGTCAGTCCCATGACTTGGTGGTTAAGGAAGCTGGATACCACATGGCTGATCACATAGTTTGAATCCTGGCCCTGATGGCTTCAAAAACATACGCATGTATGCCCAAAACTCCAACAGGGTAGAGAAGTGGAGAAGAGAAGCCCACTGGAGGGTACTTTCTTCTCTCCCATTCTCTTTCTCTCTGTCTCTCTGGTGAGTGCAAAAGTTCTCTGGCAATTAAAAAAAAAGGGAGAGGGTCTTTTCCTATTAGCTATTAATACTATATATGTTGTTCAAGTTAAGATTTAGGGATGGTCAAATGAATGATTAGAACAGTGGAACTGTGTCTGGCTGGATTACAAAGCAAGGAAACAGTTGACTTAAAAAGGACTTTCCGATGCTGCAAAATCCACAGTCTTCCCAGATCTATGGATCCTGTATGTATCTTGGAATTCTGTTTGTTCCTAAATCCGGCAATGAGTAATAAGGCTTTTCTCCATGTGGGCCTTTTGGGATTCTCCTCGCTGATCTTTCTATGGCTGATGTTCATCTCAGGGCAAGAGGGACTTTGGTTTAAAATACACACCCAGTTAGGATCAGCAGGTGACACACTGGTTAAGGTGCTGGATTCTCAATGGCCTACCACTATTCGAGTCCTGCACCTGGTGACTTGAAAATCATGCTAGGCATGTGTGCGTGCATGCCCAAAATCTCAGGAGAAGAATGGATGAATGGAAGTGATTTCTCACTTTTCCTCTTACTGTCTCTGTCTTATAGCAAATGACTAAATAACTAAATAAATTGAATAAATAATTTAAAAAAGATGTTTGTGTCCTGGTTGATAGGAAGAAATGTGACCAAGAGATATGTCCAAAGTTGGCAAATGGATAAAGGGAAAATATCCTTTTTTTTTTTTGCCAAGGTACTGCTAACAGGCAATGGTTTACTTTGGCTGGGCAGAGAGTTGGGGTATGTATATCTCCGGATGAATATTTTCTAGTTAGTTTTGTTGAGTATTTGACAAGGCTGAGATCTTAGGGGCCCTGAGCAGGCACAGGAGCATACGGGTTTCATTGTGGTCCCCTGGAAACACAGAGCAGCACCTCAGGAACACAGCAAGACCTTGCATCCAGAAATGACAGAAGATTCTGGCACTCTGCGGCCAGGACCCACGACTAAACTGGTTTTCAAGTGGATCTAGCAATCCTTCCTCAGACAGTCCTTATGTGAATTCTAAGAACCCAGAGGGTGCGCTCATGTGAAATAGAATGTGAATTAGACCAGAGCACGCAACCCTGAAATAGAAGCTTCTAGAAGGTCTAGCATTCTTTGGGTATGGCCCACTTGTTTCAATAATGGGTGGAGTGAAGGCAGGTGACAAATTTATGGTAACAGCTGAGTTCCTGTAGGAGGTGGCAGTCAGGCGAGCAGGAGCGACCCTGATACCTGAGGTAGTGAATGTTTTCACAGGCCCTGCATCTCCCCCTTTGAGGAGCCAGGGAGCACCCTCACCAGCCGCATCACAGAGGATCAGGTAGGGCTGGGGTTTTTGTGTCCAGGTCTGCATCTTCTAGGGCATCGATCCAGGAGATAGCAGGTCATGGGATAGGGAGGGAGCAGAACGAAGATAAGGACAGGAAGTAAGAGGAACTGGGGGAACTGGGTCAGATTCACTGGTCCCCCAGGGCTGGCCTTGGTAGGACAGCTCCTCTGGCCAACTGTAGTAGGATGGCAGAGAGGAGTGCATGTTTCTCCTTGGGAAACTAAGCTGCCTCACCCACAAAGGCCATGTGCACGTTCTCTTTAAGAGGGACCTTCCTCCACAAAGTGTATTTGTAAAAGAGCTCCAATCTCTTTTACTTTCTTTTTTTCTTTCTCTCTTCCTTTCTTCCTTCCTTTCCCCTTTCCTTTCCTTTCCTTTCCTTTCCTTTCCTTTCCTCTCCTTTCTCCTTTCCTTTCCTCTTTCTTTCTTTTCCTTTCTCTCTCTTTCTTTTTTTTTCTATCAGAGGATGTGTGTGCTCCCCAGAAAAAGACAGAGAGAAAGGGAGCAATAGCGGGAAAGTGAAAAGCACCTTCCCCCATGGGGAATAGTCATGCAGCTATCCCTTCCCCATCTCTCCCTCCTGTAGGAATTTTGGGCATGCATGCACATGTGCAGAGCGTATTTTTCAAGTTGCCAGGTCTGGAATTTGAACCATGCAATCTGCCACATGGGATCCAGTTCCCTTAACTGGATCCCGTGTTTTAACCAGTGGGATCATGTGCCGTCATCTTGGTCATCTTTGGCCCTTTCACAACAGTCTTGCTCACTGTAGTAAGGTAAATAGTTTTGTGTTCCTACAGAGATATTTTTTGGAATAGAATGGTAAAAAGATCATTTAAGTCAAGGGCATCCACTCAGTGGTCTCAAAATACTTCCCAACCCCAGCCTGGATGTTGGACCTCTTACAGGGAGGGTCAAATGGTGTGTATGGTCCTTCATCATCATCCTCATCCTCCTCTTCCTCCTCATCATTGTCATTGTTCTCGTTGTCCTCGTTCTCATTCTCTGTTTCGTTGCCAGCCTCGGCAACAACATCGTCCCTCCGAGTCCCATTCACGCCCCTGTCTGGGGCACTGCTGGGGCCTGTTCCATTCTCCACGGTGTGTTTGACTGGGATTTTGATGGCCACCTCAGATTCCCCATTGGTGTAAGCCCTGCTGTTTATCAGTCTTTGTCTCTGGAAAGAGAAAAGCATATTCTTACAACCGTCAGAGGGATTGGGAACACCTTTTACCCAGAACCAAGCTACTGGGATCTCTCCCAGGCAGCTGACAAGGGAGTGCTTCTGGAAGACTCTGGAGTTAAGTTTTAAATGATTCTTCACAGTAATAACCAATTCAGACAGCCTTCTTCTGGGAGGAAAGACGAACCTTTTTTAATCCAGTGGAATTTACAGGTCCCTTTAGAAGAAAATTCTTATGTCTGGGCTGTGCACTTCTTGGGTGCCTGTGCCCTGTGCTGTTATTTTTCTCCTCCAGATTGTAGGAATCCCTTGGCCCTTGTATGAGAAAGTCATACCTACAGTTGGACTAATGCATCAGGTTGGCTGTCATTCCAGAGAAAGGGATACACAGGACAATCCAGGTTGGACATTTTGGATTTCTTTAAACTATGGTCTTTATTTTAAAACAAGTTCATGTCAGGGGGCTTTATTTGATTGGAAAGATAAAAGAAGGGAAGAAGAAGGGCAGGGCAGTTGTTTTACATAACTGGGAGCTAGACTAAGTCTCTCTGCTTTTGGAGGGAGGACCAAGGCTCAGGAAATACAGTTGGCTGAGTGAGCAAAGGCATTGAGAAACTGCTGAGAGAGATCACGGTGAAACCGAGTGAGGCGCTTCTTCTTTCAAACCAGGGACCTTTGTTTCCTTTCCTACTCCTGTCCAAGGGTAAATGGGTTGTGCTTTGGCAGATACCTCATTGATCAGCATGCGGCTAGCCATGGAGAGCCGGGTCTTGGGGGGGAAGTGGCTGGTGATCATGATGCGAAGGCCAGCCTCGGAGAAAGAAAGCTGGTGGGGGTAAGCCGACAGCAGCTCGTCCACCATGATCACGGACGCTTTGCGGTGGAAATTGGCTGGGGAGTGAAATACACAAAATAACATTTGCAACCAGGAGCAGGAGAGAGGCATCCATTCACTCACTCTTCTTTCCCTTCCTTACTCTTCCTTCTCTCACACCCTACCACCTTTTCCTCTCATCCATCCATCCATCCATCCATCCATCCATCCACTCATGAGGGTTTCAGTGAGCAAAGTTTAAAGAAGAGTCAAAATCTGTTTTCTCGTGGGTCTTTGGTAATGACTTGAGGCAATTTAATGATTGAAAGGGGAAGAATGATTGATAACTTGAGAGAATTCCTTCCTGTTCTCAAAAGATTCTTTTCCCACCATTCAGATCTGGAGCACAGGAAAGATCTCAGTAATCTTTAGTAAGCTCTTAGGCCCATACCGAGCTGTTAAAAGCCATAGAATTGACTTTAGTGTGAAGTAGAGGGCGTGGTAGGGAAATGTACACATTCTCATAGCCCACACTATGGCAGAGTTGTCTAGGAGCTGGGCAGGTAAGCTGCTCACATTACAGAAGACAGAGGTCCAGAGAAGGGTTGGGACAACTGTGCAATGATTCAGTTGGAAAAAAAAGTCCTACCAAGACCTGAGCCTCCTCCCCATGAGTGATCAGTATGTTCATGTGACTCAGGCACCTGGCCACAGCCTCCCTTGGGACTCACTCCTGTTTTCCAAGTCACTAAACTGTGAAATGATCTCAGAAAACACTGACTAATGTTATGTAGCTCTCTTTGGTTCCCTAAGAGTATTCCTTCTCTGGTTATAAACTACCCAGAAGAGAATAAACTAGATGAAGATCTCATATGCAGTAACAGCATGTAACTTACAAGTCTTTTGTTAAATGTACTTACAGCCATTCAGAAAACTCTATCATATATTTGATATTCAATACCAAATAATTAACCTCTGAGATTTCAAAATCAGAGGTATATTGGAAAATAACATATATATATATACATACATATATATATATATATATATATATATATATATATATATACACACATATTGTTTTTCCTACAAAATAACTCTATCAGACCAAGAAGAATTAAGCACACATATTTTAAATGGAAAGCTTAAAAAATTAAAAGAAAAAAGAAAACACATTGCAGGCAAAATTAAATGATGATTTTCTGAGTCCCTCTAAGAATACTATTTCTTAGAGAACACCATATTCTTTTCTTTCATAAACTGACTGCTTTGTAAGAATATTAGCTACAAATATTATTAGGTTGTTGGGAAAGCCATGACATAGTTTTCTATATAAAATGCATCATGACTTTCCCAACAACCCAATATTTTGAAAAGAAAGGTAATTTTGCAGTTTGGAAATGGAGTTAATGTAGCCTGAAAGTGAATTTGAATATAGTCAGACACTAATAACCCCTGTCATTTCTGGAGCATTATGCTACATTCATATGCTTTGTTTGCTTCAGTCATTACAAAGATGGGTCCCATTTCTCAGAAGAGAAAACAGGCCCAGAGAGGTTAAGTAACTGGTTTTATGGTCATACCACCCAAATGTGTCAGAACCAATAACTGCAAACCTGCCGTCTCCTCTCCTTTCCGTCTTGTTCTTCTTTCCCTTTCTCGCTCCAGTCTATTCGCTGCCTAAGAAGCTCCAGGGATATCTGAGCTGGCTCACTGCCAGGTAAGAGTGGCTCTGTGATACAATCAGAGGAGAGGGACTGGACCCTTCTGTCTCCATTCTCTCCTCTCTTTGGGTGGTCTTCTCAAGCCAGGTGGTTCTGGACCTGGTTACATGTAGACAGATGGGCTCGTATTCTACCACGTCCTTCTTGGACAGGGTCTCCCAGTTACCTTTCTTAAGTAGCACCACGGTTGCGTCACAGTTGCTGCTGTCATCGATTTCAGCATTGTTGGCCAATCCGTTGACCATGTTCCCAGCACCTTTTGTCCTCCTTTCGAAGCATTGATGGATGCAAGCGTTGTATCTGGGTGAAGCGATAAGTGGGAAGAGTCCATCAGCACTTGCTGTTCCTCCAGTTTCTGACTCCCACCAAGTGATCCCAGGAGAGTCCTCAGTCTGGGTACCTGCATGGGACCTCATGCCTCAACTTGCTATTGTTCTTATTTGTCATCTCATTTCCCCTGAGAATATACAAGCTGTCCTTTCCCAATATTAAGGATGTATAGTAAGTGCTATATAGGTAAATAATGGCACACTGCTTTCTCTGCAACCTCATCAGTATCAGTGAAGGCAGGCATCTCTGGGATTGAGCTCTCTTGCCTAGTCTGTACATGGAGAGACTGTAAGCGACCCAGGGAGGGGGGTCAAGATCTCTCTCCCCTGGGCTGTGTCTTGGAAACCAGTGTCCTGAGAAGGAGGAGACCTCATCCATGTTGTTTCCCAGAGGCTGTGCTTCACTGCCTACCTGTCACAGGCTGACTGACCATTTAGTTATTTGTTTTCCTAAGGCCACAAGTTGGGATCCTGTGAATCTCTATTACTGCTGTGCCATAATTCTAGTCCCAGTGGGTTCTTGGCTTTATAAAACATTCTGGGCTAGATTCTCCAGAATGATCAAGTGAAAACACTTGCAGTGGTTCTTACAGTGCTGGCTGGGGCAGATGAAGGGGAAGATGCTTATATACATTCCTAGGATGTTTTTAACAGGCAAATGTTCTGGTCCCTTGATCTTTAGTATTTGAAAATTCTCAGAGTATTTCTAGAAAACTCAAGGGCAAAGGTGGTTGGCCATGGCTTAGCTGCAGTGGCGTAGGTGGTAGTATACGGGTCTCCAGTGTAGAAGCCACATAGTTAACTGGGTTTGGGTCCCAAGTTGACCTGAAACACCAGGTGCACATGCACCCAAGATCCTGACTTGCTGGAGGGCTGAGAGAAGGTGACTACAGTGAGATGAGACCCTGTTGAGGGTATGTATCTTGTTGTGTCTCTGAGTGCTCTCTCATACACTATCTCTGTCATGAAGGAAATAAAACAAATAAGCAACAACAAAAGAGATAGCCAGGCAGAGTTCTCAAGGTATTGCACATCAGTACTGCTTTTTCTCCTGCTCAAAGATCTAAAGGCTCCATGGCTTCCTGGCCATGGGACAACCCACTGAGGTGTCACTCCAACTTGACCTATAACCTTCCCTACAAACAGTAGCCAGGTATGGTGACTCTGGAAGGCAACTGGAAGTTGCCAGCTGGACAGCCACTCAACCTGTGTTTCCCTCTTCTCCCTCCTCCCTTTGCTACTACAGACATGAGGCTCTCTGGAGTCCCTCCCAGCTAAATCTTGTGCCTGATTATTCAGTCAGTGCACCTTTGGGGTGGGCTGTCAATGGAGACAGGATGGCCATCATGGTAGAGACAAGGGGCCTTCTCTTCCACGAGTTCCTCCCCTTAGTCTCTGGGAGCCTATGGTTTTTCCTACATTGCATGAGAGAGCACTGGAAATTAGTCTGTGGAAAGGGAAGTGGGAGGCCAATCCTGGAGAGCTCTCTGGATGCATAAGAAATGAGGCATAAAATCAAAACATCACTTTTCTGCCACCCTAATGAAACAATGAATCCAGACATGGAGCAGCCATGGCTACCAACATCGCACACAGAGGGAAAAAGCAGACATCAATGTGCCTCCTGGTGGCAGAACTCACCACCACTTGGGACATAGTCTAGCTGAACTGGATCAATTACTGTTTGGTAGGAAATGTAGAGGCCAAAGGAACAGGCTGCATACCTCATGGGATAGAATCAACAATGGGAAACTGCAGAGCATCCAATCACACTCCGTAAAGGATAAAGTGCAAGGAAAGAACACACACACACACACACGCACACATGCACACGCAGAACAAAATAGAGGGAGAATTTATAATTCACAAATTCTTTATTTTTGAGTTTGCTATAGGGCATGTGCCCTAGCCAGAAAGAGACAAAGAGGGAAAGATAGAGGGAAAGTGAGAAATCATCACCCGGGGTAATGGCTACACTGCAATCCCTTCTCCATTCTCTTGGGAGTCTGCATATACATGTGCCTGGCATGTTTTGCAAGCCACTGGGACTCAAACTGCAGTTGGCCATATGGGATCCAGCCACCTTATCCTCCACGTCACCTGCTGGCCCTATAATTTATAAATTAAAAGAGATCCAAAAGGGGAGCAACCAATTATGATGACTGGAATGATGAAATTTATTTGGATTTTTATTTTTTTCAGTTTATTAAAAAAATTATTTCTGGAGAGAGAGATTGAAAGAGGGAGAGACAGGTCCTCTTGACATGGTCTCGCCATACCTTGATCCTTCCCTTGGTCTTCCGGCCAGCCACAATCATGGGTACATGTTGGGGTGCCTGATGTGTTCAGGGTGACCTGGGATCCAAGCTGGAACTCCCACATCATGCAGGAACACCCAGCCACATGCACCACCATAGCTGCGCCATGAGTTTTGAGTTTAAGATTCTTTATGACATCTCTGAGACCAAAAGGAAACACTAAAAGATGACACTTATGACACCATGAAAATTTGAACTTGGATATTATATGATACTAAGGAATTAGCATTTATTTGAAGTAGGATAACAATATTGTGGTGATGTTAAAATGAATCCTTTACACGTACTGAAAATTTTCAGGAGGAATTAGCATAAAGTCTGGGTCTTCACAAATTACTTAGGGAGAGGTAAATCCATGTGCTATGGATGCAACAATGGGTTGATGGATGAGGGCAGTAATGAGTACTTGAGGTTCTTCATACCATTTGGTTGACGTTGTGTCTTGTGAGTGAGAGTGTGTGTGTGTGTGTGTGTGTGTGTGTGTGTGTATGTATTTAGGTTTCTGCCATAGGGCATGTACACTTGCTGGAGAGAGAAAAAGAGAGGAAAAGTGAGCAGTCACCCCCTAGGGAAGATGGTCATGCTGCAATCCTTTCTCCTCCATTCTCCTCTTGGGATACTGGGCATGCATGCACACATGCCCGCTGCCAGGTGTGGGACTTGAACTGCCATCAGCCATGTGGGAGTCCAGTGCCTTAACCACCATGCCACCTGATGGCCCTGGCTTTGTGTATATTATGCATTCTTCTTAATGAAAAAGTCTCCTTTATTACTTTCTAGATTCAAAAAGAATGCCTTGCTCTAGTGATAAAGCTACAGGAAGAAAGGCAGTGTTTCTGTCATCTTGATTCAGAAACTGTTTCCCCCATAAAAATACTGCCGTGCAAGACTTTTTATTCCCCACATTTTATTGATTCACAAAATATCTTAAAGTATGGACAAAACTAGAATCTAGTGACAAGGGCACTGTAATTTTCTTCTGAAACAATTGTTTTTTTTTTTCTCTCTCTACTCCCCTTTTACTAAAGAGAGGAATAAACTAACTTATTTGCAAAAAAAATTAGGTTAATCTCACTTTGGTCTGTTATTTGCACAAAGCCCCATAAGAATTAAATTTCTGTTGCAAGGCAACAGATATTATTGTCTTATTGAACTTATGCAAATAATCATCCTGCCAAAAATAAGAAAGCTCACAAATATCTTCCAATTGTAAAGGGGTCAGGAAGGGAGAAAAGTTTATGTTTCAATGAAATAAATTCCTTTTTAACAAATTGCCGAACCCACCAATTCAAAAGAAAACAAAAATCCTTAAATCTGGAAGACAAAACATAGAACACAATTAGTAATGTTTTAGAAAAAAGTCATATAATTCCATTTCACCAGTTCAGTCTTGTTTGTTGAATTTGCAGTCTTACTGTGGTCTGACCTGACCTTTCTGTTACCATTCAATATTATTATCGATATTTCAGAACTTGTCCCTACCATTAAGTAGGCCTTTTTCATGGCCATTTTTTCTTCTCTTGTTTAAGAGTTTGCTTTTAAAGAACAATTGTGTATCATACATTTATTGGGAGTTGAATAACAAGATAACACCACACAGTGAGAGCTTCCTTGAAATCAGATATTGGCTCCATAACTTAACTAAACTGCCACTTCCCATCCTCATAAGAAAACCCACTGAGGTAGGAACTATCATTAATTTTGTTTTGCAGAAGAAGAAACTGAGATTCAAAATGGCTGAAGACTGCGGACAAGATTCCACAGCGAGTAAGAGGCAGGGTGAGATCTGCTGTCAGGGCTGAAGGTGAAGCATTTATTCTTCATCACCAGACCATATAGCCTCACCTGGGGAACAAATCCTAAGGCAGCGGCTCAGGATGAGCAGAAATCAATCCTTGCCATGGTCAGGTGGGCCTCATGCTCCCTTAAAGTTTCTACCTCTCTGGCCAATCTGAAATTGCTTCTTGACCTCTGGACAGAATGTGTTAAGTCCTTTTAAAGCTATCTACCCAGGAGGTAGCTGAAGATTCTAATATAGGCTTTTTTTTTTTTTTTTAAACTTCTGTTGCTCTGTTTTATATTTTTAATTGAATGTTTTAAATTTTGTGCTTGCACCCTGAAGCTATTTTATTGTGAAGCATGCAATTTTATAAATCAGATTTTATAAAACCCAATGATTAAAGCCTCTGATTGCAGAGGGGGACAGCTAAAGAGCAGAGATTTCAATTTAGAACTTAGGACCGAAATTCATGCAGAAAATTTCATGAGCCTAGTAGCTGCCATTTCCCATTTTATCTGCATCCTGCTGTCTGAACAGCTGGAACGCTAGGAAAGCTGAGGCAGCAGCAGAAACACACCTCATTAGCTTCCACATCTGGTTTGGTTTGGGGTAGAGGAGAGGATGTATTCACTGTATTATCTTAACATCCACATGACCTGCCAGAGGCTCACAGGCTTTATGAAGGCTCAGCAAAGGGGTTCAATGGCCACAGAAGACCTGCTTGGGGCCGGGCAGCAGTGCAGCAGTAATGCAACTGGACTCACATGGGCAAAGTCCAGGGTTCATGTCCCAGGAGGCGAAGAGGAACAAGATGGTTGTTGCTTCTATTTTAGGGCTGTGTGTGTGTGTGTGTGTGTGTGTGTGTGTGAGTGCTTGCATGAGCACATGTGTGCAAGAGAGAGAGAAAGTGAGAAATTAATCCCCCCATTGGGAGATGGTTATGCTGCAATCCTTTCTCCTCCTTTCTTCTCTTGGGATTTGGGGCATACATGCAGATGTGCCCAGTGTGATTTTCAAGCCTCCAGGTTTGGAACTTGAGTCATGCAGTTGGCCATGTGGGATTCAGTTGCCTGGTTGTTCCCATTTTAAAGGCTTTTCCTTTGGAAAGCCTTTGGGCCAACTTTTTTTTTTTTTTTCAGAAGCTGATCTATTGGTATTTTAATTTATTTCATTCCCAGAGGGTGCACATGAGCGACAGTGATTCAGAGACAGAAAGAGAGAGAGACAGAGAGACAGAGAGAGGTCATCTCCCAATAGTGCATGATCCTTTTTCCTCCATTTCTCGATCCTGCCATGATTTTAAGAACAAATGCACACAGTTGGTGTGCTTTTCAAGCTACTGGGGCTGTGATTCGAACCATGGCTGGCCACCTGGCAGCTGGCTCCCTTCACTGCTAAGATCTGGGTCCGTCTAGTGATACCTTTACATGGAAGGTGGCTTGTCCCACAACGTGTGACTGACTACTGGTTTCTCCAATAGTTACCTCATGGTCACTCCATACTAGGGCATGCCTGAGTACACTTCTACTCTAGAAATGCCCTTCTCCAGTAAGAGCAGATGCATAGACCCTTGGACAGCTCTTCCAGCAAACGTTGGATGCTTTATCAAACAAGTGGGCAGAGAGAGCTCACAGCCTACCCTGCACATTGCTGAGCCAGCTCCTGCCTTCACTGCTCCTATGATGGTGGCCAACGTCCATGCTGACTTCTTCCAACAGGTCTCTCGGTCACTGGTAGCTGGAATTAACTTTTTTTCAGGCCTTCCTTTCCAGAAAGGACAACTCAACATGGCAATTTCAGGCTTCTACTGGGTATGTTCCAGCTGGCAACATCTGGTAAACTCTTTACCTTCTTGCCTCTAGAGAGGATGGTTGCTCCTGTAGCTACATTTGCAGAGGAAAGCCTGGGCTAATTTAGAGTAAAAGAAACAGCCCCCGAGGGCAGGAAGCTGTGGCACGGAATATCTTTGCTTTACGAGCTCTTCACCTTAGTGCTACTTGGCCAAAGACAAACCAGCAAGTTCGAAACCACGGTGCTCACTTTTAACTGAGAACATGGGAAACATGAGCAGTATAAATTTTTGTAAGTCTTCTTACATTTCTTTCTTTCCAGTATATATAGAGAGATACAGGGGGCGGGGTGGGGGAGAGGCAGAGAGAGTACCCCAAGAGGGTCTTCATGCTGTGATCCATCCCCTGCTTCAACCAGTCCTGGGCCCTGGGCAGATGCACAACACACTGACGTACTCAGGGAGCTCTCTGGGATTGAACTGGGAAGCTTTCCACGTGGGATGGCCTTGCAGAGTCACATTATACTGCCTCACCACAGTCCCGCCCCACAGTATAACTCTAGATGTGAATGGTAGGCTGCCCCTGACTCTAGGAGGGATAAGAACATAGGATGTGGTTTAAAAATATGTCCACAAATTCTTTAATGAATGAAGAAACAATCAAAAATTAGGTTTCCAGATCTTGAAGAGTTCTCAAATGAGGCAGTTAATTTTTAAAAATTAAGTCTTTTTAAAAGTTTTAAGTTTCGGGACTAGCAGTTAGTGTAATGGCTATGTCGCTGGACTCCCATGTACTCGACCATGGTTCAAGTCCTGGACCCGGTGGTTTAAACTCATGCTGGGCATGTGTGCATGTGTGCCCAAGATCCCGAGAGGAGAATGGAGGAGAAGGGATTGCGGCCCCCCCCCCTGGGGGGCTGATTTCTTGCTTTCTGTATCTCTGTCTCTCTCTGTCTTTCTGGCGAGCGCATGCACCCTATAGCAAAAACCTCTCCAAAAAAAGAAAGAAAGAAAGAAAGAAAAAGAAAAAAATTTAAGTTTTGCTATAGGGTATGTATACTTGTAGGAGAGAGACAGAAAGGGAAATGGAAAAATCACCCCTCAGGAAGTTATGGCCATGTGCAATCTCTTCTCCAGTCTCCTCTGCGGACTTAGGGCATCCCTGCACACAACCCTGGTGTGTTTTCTAAGTCACTGGGTCTGGGACCTGAACCCAGAGGCTGGCCATGTAGGATTTAGTCGCCTTAACCACTATGCTACCTGGCTGGACCAAGCTTTCTTCTTCTTTTTTTTTTAAGTTCACAGTATAGAGTATGTGTACTCGCGAGAGAGAGGAGAGAGAGAGAGATAGAAAGAGAAGAAAAAGAGAGAGAAGTGAGAAATCCCACCTCCCACCCCCACTCTCGTGGGGATGGCCCAACCACAGTCCCTTCTGCATTCTCCTCTGGGATCTTGGGCATGCACACACATGTATCTGGCATGTTTCTCAAGCTGCCAGGTCTGGGACTCAAACCTTACTGTTGGTCGTGTGGGATCCAGCGCCTTCACCACCACACCTCCTGCCGGCCTGACAGACTTTGATTCTATGTCATACATAGCTGAGAGGGTTGCTGCTACCGCTGCTAACCAATGTGACAGTGATTCGCAGGAGGCTGCTGAGGGGGCGGATGGCAGCTGCTTGCTCTCCCGCCCCTTCCTCTCCGGATCATCACATAAAGTCAAATGTCGGATACAGTTTCAAAAAAGAAATTAAAAAGGTATTTTACTTACTTCATGATGACAATGTAGATAAAATACATCAGCACAAGGACTAGAGACTCCCACCTGCACACAAACCAAAAACAAATGAAGACGGTCTCCACTGGCAGCCACGAAACACACCAGCTTATTTTGAAAAAAAAACCATCCGTGATATGAAAGGCCAAGATGGAAGGGTCTGGCCCACAGGCAGACTGGTTTCAAACCCTGCCTTGCCTACAGCCGTTTTCAACACCATTTATACTCTCAATGGTCTTTCTCTTCCCTCTCCACCAAAGGGAAAATGCTCCTTCCTCTCTGTAATTCGCCTACCTAAACGAGGTCTTTAAAGCTGCAATCCTTTCATACCTATTGCAGAAGATAGGCCTGTCTGCTTAATCATACACTGAAAATATCTGAGATGTTTACAGAGGGCTAACTCAGGCTGGAGGAACTGAGGGGGGCACCCCCCCTGGGGGGGTGATTTCTTGCTTTCTGTATCTCTGTCTCTCTCTGTCTTTCTGGCGAGCGCATGCACCCTATAGCAAAAACCTCTCCAAAAAAAGAAAGAAAGAAAGAAAGAAAAAGAAAAAAATTTAAGTTTTGCTATAGGGTATGTATACTTGTAGGAGAGAGACAGAAAGGGAAATGGAAAAATCACCCCTCAGGAAGTTATGGCCATGTGCAATCTCTTCTCCAGTCTCCTCTGGGGACTTAGGGCATCCCTGCACACAACCCTGGTGTGTTTTCTAAGTCACTGGGTCTGGGACCTGAACCCAGAGGCTGGCCATGTAGGATTTAGTCGCCTTAACCACTATGCTACCTGGCTGGACCAAGCTTTCTTCTTCTTTTTTTTTTAAGTTCACAGTATAGAGTATGTGTACTCGCGAGAGAGAGGAGAGAGAGAGAGATAGAAAGAGAAGAAAAAGAGAGAGAAGTGAGAAATCCCACCTCCCACCCCCACTCTCGTGGGGATGGCCCAACCACAGTCCCTTCTGCATTCTCCTCTGGGATCTTGGGCATGCACACACATGTATCTGGCATGTTTCTCAAGCTGCCAGGTCTGGGACTCAAACCTTACTGTTGGTCGTGTGGGATCCAGCGCCTTCACCACCACACCTCCTGCCGGCCTGACAGACTTTGATTCTATGTCATACATAGCTGAGAGGGTTGCTGCTACCGCTGCTAACCAATGTGACAGTGATTCGCAGGAGGCTGCTGAGGGGGCGGATGGCAGCTGCTTGCTCTCCCGCCCCTTCCTCTCCGGATCATCACATAAAGTCAAATGTCGGATACAGTTTCAAAAAAGAAATTAAAAAGGTATTTTACTTACTTCATGATGACAATGTAGATAAAATACATCAGCACAAGGACTAGAGACTCCCACCTGCACACAAACCAAAAACAAATGAAGACGGTCTCCACTGGCAGCCACGAAACACACCAGCTTATTTTGAAAAAAAAACCATCCGTGATATGAAAGGCCAAGATGGAAGGGTCTGGCCCACAGGCAGACTGGTTTCAAACCCTGCCTTGCCTACAGCCGTTTTCAACACCATTTATACTCTCAATGGTCTTTCTCTTCCCTCTCCACCAAAGGGAAAATGCTCCTTCCTCTCTGTAATTCGCCTACCTAAACGAGGTCTTTAAAGCTGCAATCCTTTCATACCTATTGCAGAAGATAGGCCTGTCTGCTTAATCATACACTGAAAATATCTGAGATGTTTACAGAGGGCTAACTCAGGCTGGAGGAACTGAGGGGGGGTGGCCGAGGGATTGTCTGATCCATAGGAGTTAGGCATCAGGGTGTGTGTGTGTGTGTGTCTGTGTGTTTGTGGGCAGAGAGGGAGAGAGAGACCTGGGTAGGGAAGGAGCCAGAAGGAAGAGAAATGAGTAACAAAATGATCAAGAGAAAAAGAAATAAAAAAAAGAAAAAAGAAAAAAGAAACCCATTGGAAGGGCCCTTGAGCATCTAAACTTTTATTATTTAATTATTTTTAAGAGAGATTTTTGCTATAGGGCGTGTGCTCTGGCTGGAGAGACGGAGAGACAGAAAGCAAGAGATCACCCCTTAAGGGGGATGACCATGCCGCAACTCCTCCTCTAGTCTCCACCCGGGAGGACACATGCTCCGTGTGAGTTTAAGCTACTTGGTCTGGGACTTGAATCATGGTCATGGGAGTCCAGTGACATAACCATTATGCCACCTGCTGGTCCCCAGGGGTCTTAAAATGTAAACTCTTGTATTTAATTTTACTAAGTTTCAGCTAAAAAGGAGAGAATTTGCTTTCTGCTTCCATTTTTGCTACAGAATGGAAGTAGCTGGCTGAGGGAGTCATCCTGGCTTTGCGAGGAGGTGACTGGAGAATGGTCTGATGAGCACATCCCAGGCTATGCCCAGCCTTCCTTTCTCTTTTCAGATTCCATGTCTACAAGTTGACCCTGAGAAGTATTTGGTCGCATGCAAAAAGGATGCATGTCCAAGGGTTTTATAGCAGTGAAGAGGTGGGAGAAGCCAGTGGTTCCAGAATGGGGCCTGGGTCTGGAAACTCAGCATGCCTGCCCACACTTACGCCACTCATCCCTTAAGAACGATTTTGCAAATACACAAGTATCTACTACAGAAAGTGCTCCTGATTGATGCGTTCCTCAGGGAAGAAGCCAGGGTGCCCGAACTCCTCCAACGTCTGCCCCATTTCTCAGCTTCTCTCACAGCAAAACTTCTCAAGAGGCAGGTACACTCCCCTCGGCGTCTCCCAGGCACTCGGCGCTTTTCTCTGGTCTAATGTCCACATCCAACACCCCCTGGAACTCTTGTCAAGGGCACCAGTGACTCCCAGCTATGCACACCAGAGACAGTTGTATCATGCTGCCTGCTTTCTCTGTAGTCTTTTTTTTTTTTTTTTTTTTGGAGGTTTTTGCTTTAGGGCGC